GCGGGAAAAATGTACTTAAAGGGAGATTACAAGGTAATTAGGTCTTCTCCAGTTAGTGTTTTGTAGGTTATAGCTATGTGCATTCATGGGCAACCCTAGGGCTCTTGACGAGTGGAAACAACAGTTCGTGGATCAATTTTCTTGTGAAAGTAATCGAATTGTTGTTCGCTATTCTACTTTAAAATTTCTTTTATCTGAGATACACCTATCTGGAGTTATTCTTTAGTTAGCTAGAGATCTTTATGGTCCGTCTACCGTAAATGATTTAATAGACGCCCACTCTCAAATAAACCCCTCTTATCTAATAAAACTAGGAATAAGCGAAATGATGCAACATCATTCAATTTATTCAGTTTCTTGCGTGATTAACAAGGTTTTGCGTAGTGTATCGTGTTTAATGTAAAGTTCAAAGTAAGGATAGACTAACGAATGGCAAATCACTTACTCTGAAGGAGGATTCTGAAATAAATTTTGAAAGAGTGGATAACTAGACGGCGTACACGTATCAATTGATGGAGTGCCCCTCTTGATAATTTCGCCCATAGCAATGCAGGGTGCTACCCATATAGCTACGAGAATAAATGCCTCTCTCTTTTAAACACCTCCTACCTAATAACTGCCTCCTCCAATCATGGACCTCCAAAATTAACTAAACGGCAAACTCATGTTCTCGTTTGCAATTGATGGCTGTTTCTTAGGTCCACATCAGTGAAGATTCGTGCGTCCCTGATCATTGCTGCATATATGCTCTGAGTGACCCCAAAGATGAATCCATGAGGCAGAAAAGCAACCACGCCCATGCTGATCGCTGCAGCCAGTGTGAGGCCTTAGATGAGCTCCTAGATTCCATAGAGAAAGTTGTTCAGGGTGCTAGTTTCTCCTTACCAGAAAAAAGAGATGAAGCTCTCTACATATTTCAGCATGTGCGACAAGCTATCATTCTGTGGAAGTGCCATCAGATACGCACCGTTAGACAGGACCAGGCACGCCTCGAAGTCCTCGACCGCCTAGACGATAAAACCTTTCTTATAACCAGTGACTGGGCGATGAAATTCTTACCCCAACACTTTATAGAGACTCAAAGTGATTGGTTCGGAAAGCGCGGGATGTCGTGGCACATCAGTGTTGTGGTACGCAGAGTCAGTTCGCAACTTCAAACCCAAACCTTTGTTCAAATCTTACAGTCGAGTAACCAAGGTAGTTTCACCGTCGTTCTTCTCCTGGAACATGTGTTACGTACGTTGAAGAGTGAACATCCCGAGATCCAGCAGGTGTACTTGCGACAAGGCAATGCAGGGTGCTACCACAGTGTCACGACAATTCTAGCCATACCTGCTATCCAGTCTTCATCTGGAATGCGTATCCTTGCAGTAGACTTTTCAGACCCTCAGGGAGGAAAGGGTCCAGCCGACCGTATGTCTGCTACCTGTAAGAATCATATCAGAAGGTATATAAACGAGGGCCATGATGTAACGAATGCGCAGCAGATGAAAACCGCGATCCTTTCCCATGGCGGAGTCGAAGGCGTCAGAGTTGCAGTTGTTGAAGCTTCAATTAACGAGACCCCAGAACAACGGAAGATCCCTGGAATAAATAAACTTAATAACTTTGAATTTAAGAACGATGGCGTCTTCGCTAGACGAGCTTACGCAATAGGCAAAGGAAGGAAAATCAACACAAAGCACGGACAAGGAGGTAGTTTTAAGGCTTTATATATAAAAATATGTATTTCCTTTCGAGTATAAATGATTATATTTACAATAGTGCTGCCTTGCACCAAAGCACCTGTACGTGCAAAGGGAATATAGAAAGGTTCAAAGGGTATGAGCTATTTGCTCTTTCCAAGGTGCCTTTTACATCTTGACATGTTTCAGCTTAAAGTAAGCTAGATTAATTCAACAATTATTGAACAAGGCTGGAAATATGCAGAAGGCGGAAGTTTCTTATCGTCAGAATATGAATGCATGGAACTTTTTTCTCAAAAAAGGAGACACATGTGTTACATCCAACGAGCATGAATATTCGTACATACGTTCCGTTCACTTTTAGTCAATAATTCAGCTATTTTCTCTTCGCACATAGCCATGATTTCTTTCGCGATTTTCTTGTGTTCTACATTTATGCCAAAACAGCGATAGATCTGCCGTGCTGCTGCCCGCAGCACGGCAGTGATTGAATATAGGCGGCATTTTCCGAAAATGCATTGGTTAACGCCAGCTAGTGATGTAGGTAAGTCGGGTGATTAAAGTTAATCATAAACGGCGAATATATATTATAAATTAATCATAATTTTTATTTAAGCTGGTGTTTCGTTTCAGACTCAAACATGTATTCGCTAAGGGCGCCCTTTTCGAACGGCGATTTCAAATCGCTTAGCAAGCAGTCTAAGCCAGCAAGGGAATCCCAACCTGAAGAACATGCAGCCGCAAATAATCCACTCGAGACACGCCCAACGGCAACCTACAGCTGCCCACAAGATGGCTGCACTCGTGTATTCCAGCGACATTGCGCACTGGAAAACCATTTGAGTTTTGAGAGATGCTCAAAGTCTGTTGAAAGAGCGACACTTCTGGACCGTGCCAAAACAGAATACGCCACACGCCTTTTGGAGGGAGTTGGCAAGATTCCAACATTGCCAAACACATCGGGGACTTCAGCCTCAACATGTACAGAACGATTACAAGAGGGTTGGGCCTTAAAGCAAATGAAGAAGCCATATCGTTTCAGCGACAAGCAGAAGTCGTACTTGGTTGAAAAGTTTAATATTGGGCAGGGTACGGGCCGAAAAGTGGATCCAGAGGTGGTTGCAAAAGAAATGCGAAGAGAAAAAGATGAAAACGGTGTGCGCCTATTTACAATTTCAGAATTTCTTACTCCCCTCCAAGTGTCATCTTTCTTTTCAAGGCTGGCGGCAAAGGTACGACAGCAAACAGTTGGTGAACCAGTACTCGAGGAAGAGGACATCACAGCGGCTAACGAGGAGGAAAACTTCGTCACCGCACGGCAATCAATTTTGGCATCACTAAACTTGTTCCATCCCATAGTTTGTGGCCAAAATAATTTGTGCGAGTTGGTTAGGCGAAACACCCTCTCAAAGTTGAAATTGGATGAGCTGCAATGCTGTTGTGCGGAGCTTGGCCTACCTGTCCCTGTTCCACCAGTACGGCGGAAAGCTCCATACGTTAACCTGTTGAAAGAGCTTGTCAAGGAATGCACCTGCATGGATGTCGAGTCACCCTAGAGAGTACCTATGAACGGCTCTAGTTAATTATCAATTTTCGATTTTTACTGAAAATTTGATTTCGTATGAATTATAAGAAATTACCTTACACCCCTTCTTTCATAAAATTGTAGTTACCCTAAAATTCCGAAAATAGGCCCCGCAGCTTATATTTTTCAAAGACCCTTTTTGAGGGGCTTATTTTTGGAGGGGCTTATATTCGGAGGGGTTTATCTAAGGAGGGAAATTTGCGTTTCCAAATCGATTGGGCTAGCTTTATAGTTGGAGGTAAATTTACCGTTTTTGCTTTGTTTTACTTTGTATTTGGGGGCAATTTTCCAAGTACAAGCCCCCGGGGGGCTTATATTTGGAGGGGCGATTTAACGGAGGGGTTTTTGCGTTATCGGTTTTGGAGGGGCCTATACATGGAGGGGATTATTTTCGGAATTTTACGGTATTTTCCGCACTCCACTTTCCACCACGGACGTGGATCACTGCTTGAAAAAGGATACGAGATAACCGGAGAAAATGATGAATAATATGATTTTAAGAACGTTAAAAAATCAAATTGCTTTAAGTAGAGCATGTTTAGAGTATGACAGGTATGTAAAAGGAGATTGTGATTAAACTGGACCGGTAGGAGTCGTGAATCTTTATTATCATAAATAACAGTTTTGCGTAACGAACATTTTTTTTTACGTTTTTTTAAATTTTAAAAGGAAGTTAGTTTGCTGTGTCAACCCTTTTGATAAATGCTTATATGCGCTATATATTAGTCCTTTTAAGTATATCTTATCCATGAAGGCTTTTAAGAAGTTAACGACTTTCAGCCTAAGAATGAGTGCAACGAATGAATAGGAACGAACGATACCTTTGAAGGGTGCGACATAACGGATCAATGCATGTTCTTGTTCTAGTAATTACAGCTGCAGTTAGCAATTTGAATAAGTTGTAGATATTTCCGAGAGTACCTATAAAACCTATAAAGAGGTAATCAGCTTCCAGTACTCCAGTACTCTTCCGTACTCTTCGTAGAAATTTCGATTGACTTGTTCCAAGTGTTTATCACTTTCGTCACGTGCTGCTCAAATTTCAAACGGCCCTTGACCTCTGGTTGCGTTCACGAATTTTTTTTTTTTAATTTAGATATCTGGATGATAACGGATAAAAAGCTGTAAAGATTGATTTAAGCATTAAATTTTACGTTCGACAGAGTTTCCTTCTTTTTACTTCAACAGCTATTGCGATTTACAATGTTATCGACAATTACGGGTGATCTTGTGCTTGCGTGACCTTTGCAATACTTTCATGTAAACACGTTAAAATTCACTATGCGTTTACCTCTCTCAAGCGGAGGCTTTTAAATTGCCCAAGCCAGATTTTTTATATGTTTTAAAACAACATTAGAGCTTTATTGTAACACAAAATTTATTAGGAATTTCCATGTACCAAGCTACGATTTTTACCTTCAAAGTTTCCTCAATTTTCAGTGTTCGTCTTGGCCCAAAGACAAGGAATCTCGGCGCTTCGAAAACAATGCGAGAAAAAAAGTTCTTTTGAAATATTTTTACATTTTCGAGTTGCTCTTGTAATGCCACACTCACCTGTAAAAGATTATCTTGTTACGCTGAAGCGCCTATTTTAACCAGCGACTTGAAAAACTGCTAATTTGCAGTAATTTTTTATGGCGGCTGCGACGCTGACACGGGATTTCATGTTTTGCTCAATTTCTCCAAAAGGAAATTTTTTTGGAAACTTTGATTGTAGTTTTCGAAAATGTTTTACCAAAGGGTTTTTTCTGACCAAGTATGAAGAGTTTGGAAATTTCGGTTTTGACGGCGAACTCTCGATATTTACAGACGGCCGCTCTTAACTTCTTGGGTTTTAAAGTGTTTAGCCTAAATCCCAGCTGTAGAGAGTTTTCACGTACAGGTGACTATCTATTCAAATTTATTCGAACAAAAGAGCACCTTTTACAAAAGAACTGGCCTGGTACAACAACATGCCTACTGTTTCATGTTAAGGAACACCTATGTGGCTGATGTGAATTTGCGAACATTAACCTCTACTTGATGGCATACAGTTTCTTCATCTCATGTTTTTTTTTATTTTAATCTTAATTGGACATTGGCAAGTCACTATTTTGATGCCTCAATTTTTTCTCCAAACAATAGCTACTGGTGGCGTTTTACATTTCAGTAATTTTTTAAATCCTTACAGGCTGCCAAGGCCAAACCCACCCACATATGAGAACTTAATAAACTTATCACCTACATTAAAGATTGATTTCTCTTTTTTTTACCTTGGTTTGTGTGGGTCTTTCTACAAACTTGTATTTTTAAACTTGTTTGATGAAAAGGTCTGTCAATATCAACTAAGCTGAGACAGTTCATTAACGATTTCTACTGCTTTCACATAAATGTCAATTCCATAACAGGAAGACTCCTCGATTTAAATAAAGTTCGTGTTAAAATTCCTCTATCATCTGCTATCTTATTACAGAACAACAAAAGTTAGCCTAAGACATTACGTTGACAACTACAAAAGCTCCAGATATAAGTAAAGAACATCAACTTTTTTAATACATTTATTGTTGCACATAAAATGTTTTGTGCCATTAAACGATAGCACTAATTCGGCTGATCTAAAAGTAATAGCCACAGCTGGCGTCACATTTCGCTTATTCGACTTTGTCACACAAAATCTTCTCCTGGTTCCGTTTTTTCTTTGTAGTTCTTCTGATTCTCTAGTTCTCTGGTTCTTCTGGTTTCTCTGGTTCTCGTGGTTCTCTGGTTCTTGTGGTTCTCTGGTTCTTCTGGTTCTTGTGGTTCCCTGGTTCTTGTGGTTCCCTGGTTCTTCTGGTTCTCGTGGTTCTTGTGGTTCTCGTGGTTCTATGGTTCTTGTTTTGGTTCTTTGTGTTTGGTTGCCCTGTTCCACTTGCTCTCAGATCTTCAGCGACGGCACAACATATGGGAACCTTGGAGTAAGAGACGGAATGAGAGCGACAAGCGAGCGGATGGNAGCCTAAGACATTACGTTGACAACTACAAAAGCTCCAGATATAAGTAAAGAACATCAACTTTTTTAATACATTTATTGTTGCACATAAAATGTTTTGTGCCATTAAACGATAGCACTAATTCGGCTGATCTAAAAGTAATAGCCACAGCTGGCGTCACATTTCGCTTATTCGACTTTGTCACACAAAATCTTCTCCTGGTTCCGTTTTTTCTTTGTAGTTCTTCTGATTCTCTAGTTCTCTGGTTCTTCTGGTTTCTCTGGTTCTCGTGGTTCTCTGGTTCTTGTGGTTCTCTGGTTCTTCTGGTTCTTGTGGTTCCCTGGTTCTTGTGGTTCCCTGGTTCTTCTGGTTCTCGTGGTTCTTGTGGTTCTCGTGGTTCTATGGTTCTTGTTTTGGTTCTTTGTGTTTGGTTGCCCTGTTCCACTTGCTCTCAGATCTTCAGCGACGGCACAACATATGGGAACCTTGGAGTAAGAGACGGAATGAGAGCGACAAGCGAGCGGATGGTATGGCGTCAGATTGAGGACATAATGGACAGTCATTCTTTGCAGGGTGGGTAACCTCTTTGCTGGGTGGTTTAAACTATCCTTGGTAGGATGGTGTGGTTTCTCGTAGGGTGGGTTACTCTAGCTAACTTGATGTATTTAAATACCTTTCGTGCCAAAAAATTTCAGTGAATAAAGCCCGACACACATCTTTCCAAAAAAAAGACAACAGGCTGTAACTGGTGCAAACAGAACGACGGATTGACCACTGAAGAGTCCAGTAATTTATTTTGGACACATACTGACAAGAGTTTTTAAGCTATGGAAGTTAATGAGCTTACCTCATACCTTGCACATGTCTCGAACTGAGAGCTATCTCTTTAAGCAGAGGCGAAACCCCGCCCATTCTAAGTTCCAAATGAGATGTCAGCTTTAGAAGCTTCGTAACTTTCATGTATCACAGGTAGGCGCAGGGTGGCAGAACACGTGTTCGCTTCAGGGAACCTGGGGTGCCCAAATTTTCCTGGCTCGTGTAAGAATTCGATGGTAGGGGATATCTTACACGGTCGTAAGGTTCTGCACCCCGTAGCAAAGAACAAGATGTCGCTTAGATGAATGGAATCCTCGCCGTCTTCTATATCTTGCAAATAGTCACTCTAACGCGAGAACACAAGGCTTTCAGTAACTTCTTTGGTTGACCCAACAGGAGTAACCACTTCAGAAGTACAGCAAAACAACAGACGAAAGGTATCTGGAAATTCTTTCATGGCTGCCAACACTCCATGCGCCGACTGCCCCTCCTGAAACCCCTCCAGGTCTAAATGGGCTCGTCCTAGCACAAACCAATGAGAGGTTGAAGCAACAATCTTGGGAATGTCATCCAGTGATATCACTGGTTGCAGAGTTCCAGCAAGGTCAAGAATTTATGGTAGGTTGCCTTCGTTCAAGGGTCGGAGAGCCTCCTCTAAAGTACCAGCATTCACAAGTGCAAGAAAGGACGACTGCAGTTCAACATCGTACACGTCTTGTACAGAAACGACTACTTTAGAAATGTCATTAACAAGAGCGTCAAAGATCAAGGGCGAAAGAAATTGTAGGGCGGGCCCCCCATGGATCATCTTGTATGCATGTAGACTGATAAGACAGGAGCCTATGGTTCTCAAGTCCACAAAACAACTGTGAACTGTGCAAGTGATCCAGAATCAAAGGAAACAATTCTCTCATAGGTCCAGGGTTTGTATACTAGAAACACAATCGCTGTGGTCGAGAGAAAGATCGGTAACGAGCTCTGAAGATCTAAAGGACTGGAAAGAAGTGTCAATTGGGGATCCAGAACGATTTTGGCGGTGACAATCAAAGAGAACTGGAAACAAGTGGGGTTAAATCATGTTCCTTACATCATGTAGAAGGTATCCTCGCACCCGAGATTTCGCGCCAATCTTCCGAAAAAGATGGCATCCAGCTGGAACTCGTCTGAAAAGGGGGAAAAATACTAGAAGAACCTCAACAGAAAGCATGTGAACTCTCTACGATCCTTGGCAGTGAAGTTACCAAGAAAACAAGCCCTATAGTCAGGTCTCTTTGCATCAAGACCGTTACAGAGTTGACAAAAGCACCAAACTTTGCACAGTTATAGCTTATAGCATTACTATAAATATAAGAGGGGGGGCCAATGCAGATATGCCTATGACGATAAATTTAGGGGATTAAAGTTTTGAAAATTTCACTTGCTGGGTGTCCTGTGGTTTTCGTTTTGAAAATTCCTATTTAATGCCATAAATCACTAAGAATACCGTTCTCATGTGATATACAACAATTTCAGTTGTATATCTATCAATCCTATCCGCAACTTAAGGTATATTTGTTCAAATAAGCTATTTTTGGATATTAATCTATGATGCTGGTACCCAGTCCCCCTCTTCCATAAGTCATTTCCAAGATGGCGGCGTCCATGCTTATCTGCAAAATCTGTAAGTATCCTGCCTTTGATATGCTATTCTTTTTTTTTAAAATATAGTTTTTTCTGTCGAGAAACTTTCGTTTTATAGTTGAAGATTATTTTTAAGTGTTTGACTACTTGATTTGCCTTTAGAAAGCATTTTTTGTGATCGTTTGGCCAACGCGATTCAGGTTCAGATTCAGATTTTTTGTTTTGCAAGAACAGACGGCAAAGTAGCTCAGGAGTTCGAGTTGGTCACTGTCGTGTGCATTTAAGAGGAGTAAACATGTGCATATATATATATATTTACAAGTAATGGGAAAAGGTGTAAAATTTTACGTACCTTTTTTAGATTAAAACAATAACAAGTGATACATAATTGTAATAATACACACTTAAAATTTCAGAAACAATGGCATTCTCTTGGAATCGATGTATTATATGTCAGAAAACAACAAAAGAACAGCTAAGGTGTCCATTAAGAGCTAGTGGAGATAGAGCAGATCCTAAGCTTGTTTATGGATCATATATCCAGAATGTTTCTGAGTTTATCGCATTAAATACCCTTCCAGTCCCTCTTTCACTTCCTCTCGACATAGATGCCGATAATTTGTTCGAGAAAGAAGCTTCATGGCACAAGTCGTGTCATTTACTATTCAGTACGTCTAAGCTTAACAAAGCAAAAGAAAGACTATCACGTAAACCAAAAGAAGAACAATCCCTGCCAGATGATGATGAGGCCCCAGCTTGCAAAACACGAAGGCTGTCTTCTTACAGTAAAGACGACTGTATATTGTGTGGTCAGGGTGGCCATCTGCATGAAGTTTCTACATTCACCACTGATGAGAAGCTCCGCAGAATGATAACAGAGCTCCAGGACAGTACGCTTCTGCCTAGAATTTGTGGAGTTGATCTCGTGGCAGCTGATGCAAAATACCACCTCAAATATATGACAGACCTGCGAAATCGTTACAGGCACCACACATCTAGAAAACGGCAAGAATCGTGTGAAATGGACGAAGAGAGAATAAAGGAGTCTCAGGCCTTTATTGAG